AGAGAGAGAGAGCAAGTGTACAATTATGCCATTTTCTCCTGTAGTTAATGTCATCTAATCCATTCTGTGCGGGCGGGCGGGCGTGCGTGCGTGCGTGCGTGCGTGCGTGCGTGCGTGCGTGCGTGCGTGCGTGCGTGCAAGCCTGCCAGGTAAGAACCAATTACCTAGACAGTTCACTGGCATTCTTTCCCTCGTGGTGTGGCACAAGGCCAACAGCACAGCAACACACGCACGCACACCAACACACACACAAGGGTTACAAACCCTCACACGTCCAGCTTCTATGGTATCCATATCTCTACCTGACACACACAGACACAACACATAACCGTATTGAGAGTGAAAACAAGTTGAACATTTTCTTCCCTCCGAATGCAGACCTTAAAGTTCATCTACATTTCACTTCTCTCACTTTCTCTCTGGTTCTCTCCCAGTCGTTGGCTGCGTGCCACAGATATTTCCTGAGCTGTGTACACACACACACAGCAACAAGGTCTGGGAAGTTAAAAAAAAAAAAATGCTGACCGACTTTTCATCAGCTGAGAGAAAAAGAGTGAGCACTAAAGCCGTGCTCCATTTACAGCTGCTGCACCTTTATACCGCCTCAATAGTCCTCCATTCTTCAGAAGATCGTTTAAATGGGTTTTCACAACCTTTGCTCAACTGCAGGTTAACCGTTTCTTTGACCTAAGAGGTGGATTGAAATCTGTTTTTGGCCGAGGCGTTCTGCTCCTTTCACTGGATTTTCGGTCACAAAAGCCAGGCTCCTTCCTCTGAATGGGTCTGAAGTTTCCAGGTGTAAAACTGAGCGGCGATGGACAGCGGCAGCGTGCAATTTCCCACTGTATCTCTCTGCCTGCCAGAGGGTAAGTGTAGCATGACAGAGGAAGGGAAACATCTACTCAAATAAGCAATAAAACCAAATTGGGTTGCGTCTCAGTTTCTCATACCGTCGCTGCAGTGTGTGTGTCTATATTTGTGTGTGTTTTTTTGAGATGTTGCCAGAGCTCTTGGAAAGAGAGCAATACAAGCCGAGCACTACCTGGCACCAACACGCACACACATCGACAGCAGCTTCCATCGGGCTGGTGGAATTCCACTAATGAGTGCAAGAACCATTTCTGTGTATGTAACCAAGAGATGGATCAGGAACGCTGTGTGGCTGCATTGTCTCCTATAAAAACCCATCCCCCCAACTCCACCTGACTACACAGGTAAAGGGTTAATCATACTTTCCGCATTCCGCGTCTGCCGAGAGTTGCTTATTTGTTCCTGTCACATGCTCATGGTACTTGATCCCACATTCCATTCCAGCAGGTGAATATATTGTACCTGGAGCATGTGCAGTTGATGCGTACAGTCAGAGGTGCTGCATTTTGGGCAAATGCTTGCAGACCCCAGCAGAAACCTACAAATTCCTCTTAAATCAACCTGCAAAAACCACATAAATACATACAGACATCTATAGGTATACTGTGTCTGTCAAACACATTTCAATAAATCTAAAATGTGCAGTAAATTGCATTATATCATTCCCAGAGGGCTTCTAAAAAAAAACTTTTCCCCAATAAATGATCAGCTAAAAAGCCATGATCTAAAAGGGGAGAAAAACTTCATCACAGCTTCTATTTATTCTTACATTTCAAATTTTTTTTACATTTTACTGGATCATTCATAGCAAGGCTTTAGTGCTTCAAAATAAATGTCATCTCTCTTAATGAGTCCTTTCCTAGATGACATAGAGACTATACACAACAGATTAAGTAAAGAGCCGAATAAAAACCCAGAAAAACATCTAATCTCAGCTAGAGTTTTGCCATCAATGAAAAACAGCACAAAGGAGTAAATAAAAATTTGAGCAGCTCGCTTCCATGTGCAGATGATAAAGAAAAACAAGGTCTAGAGTCTGAGCAGGATTAAATCCATCATTGCATCTGTATCTGTTCATCTTGCTGGATGAAAAGTGGGGCTGGTTCCACTTCATAACCCCCCGCCTTGTTCAAACATTCCTCTCTGCAAAGCAGGCAAA